GGACACTGTGGTCCAAACATTTAAAAAATGCAGATTTTAAGTCACATATAAAAATGGAATGCTTGTGTGAAGCTTAAGGCACACTTATTCAGTTGTTTATAGATTCAGTATGATTCAACCTAATTTCTATAAAAGACTTTATGAGCAAGGAATCCCTTAGCATTCTTAATAGGGCTGTGTTGAACTAGATTTCTCCATTTTAATAGATTTTTATGAACCGATAATGATTTTTAAATCCCGAGAATCGGTCTTAGTTTGCTGTTTTCAGTTGATGCGTGAAAAAAACTGTACTAAACATTAGCTAATTGTAGCGTGCAGCCCATCCAATAAATCGCAGTAACTTCTGATATGAAACAAGAACTGCATCCCAAATGACGCACTATACACTGTGCACTTATACACTAGGTACTTATGCACTCTACTCAACCATGTAGTGTATGAATTTTATAAGGTTATTTTGTCATAAATAATTGGAGTCTGATAGTCCCTCCCCCTTTACGACATAACATTCCACACTTCAAATGTTACACACTTCGTTTTTTTTGGTTATTTAAAGGGGACATAACACACACAGTTTCACCCAATCTCATGCTAATCTTGAGTACCTATAGAGTAGTATTGCATCCTTAATATCTCCAAAAAGTCTTTAGTTTTATCATATTCATAAAAGAAATATACAGCTTTACGATTCTCTGCAAAAACAGCTGAGCTCCTGGAAGCATGCCGTGGGCGGAGCTAAAGTCACAAGCCCTTGAGCGCCGATTCCCAACAAAACAGAAATTTGATGCCGTTTCACTGTGTGAAAATCCAGCGTTGAACTGGGCCTTGTTTATAAAACACTAGTCACCGAAATGACGGGAACTAACAAACACTTGCGAAACTCTGTTGCTGCCCCAGAAAAACAAACTGCATCCACTGTTCACGTAACATTGGGTTCTGTGGGAAGCTGAACAAGGTTATCTTTCCCTCACATCCAAAAGCACACTGAGAAAGTCCTGTGCAGCACTGCCGAATGAAGCAAGATGACGGCCATGCTTGCACTCTCACTCTAGTCGATGTGTGTGCGGGCGCGCTCTTCCGGGGAAAGTGCCCATACAGGGAATTCCGCCCTTCATGACGTCATGAAGAGACATGATTGAAAAAATCTTTCCAAAACTTGTAAGAACCTGGAAGGAGTGTATTTGGCACAGAAATATTCCGTCACATGTCAAATTTTTTACAATTTTTTTTTTTTACTTTGGCCATGTTTAGCATGAGAATCCAACTCGTTAACAGTGTAAATAACTTGGAACGTAAGAAACAGCATTAGACCCCCACCCCCCGTAAGTGCATAATCCAGGTATTTAAAATGCACTTTTTCTTTTTGGAATTTTCAGTGTGAACACACTACACGCACTATTTATACTACAAAACGTCATAGAATAGTGCATAAGTACGCAATTTGGGATGCACCTAAAGTCTTGGCTTTCAGATTCTATTTTATTATGAAATGTAAATAATAAATACTATTTTGGTGTTCTTTAATTGTGGTGTAACAACGCAGTATCCACCTCAGATCAAGCTAAGTGCTAGTGTGGGGCTCACGTGAACCGATCATCTCTTCCTATTTGCGACTAATAATAGCACGAAAATAAACATAAATGAACATCAGAAGGTATGTTGAAAGATGGAGTATAACTGTCACGGGTTGCCAGGGGAAAGGAGCTCGAAGGAGTACAAAGGAGGCCGATAGTCAAACGAACAGAGTCTTTAATTAATCTTCATGGGAACGTAGGAGAAAACAACCTCTTTACATGACGGGGACAGGACAAAGAAACTGAGGAAAGGCAGGGCTATAAATACTAAACCAAACGATGGACTAAGAAGATGATTAACGAACACAGGTGGAAACTAATGAACTAATCAAGCAACACAGGAAAACTAGGTCAAGGCAGGGAGAACAGAAACACAGAACATAAACGTGACATATCGCCCCCCCTCCCGGAAGGCGGGTCTTGCACCGTAACAGTTCCAATGGGCAGGGGGGGTGGGCACCCTGGAGGCTGGTGCAGGGCAGGAACAGGGCGGAGACAAGGAAGGCCTCCAGGGCAGATTAGGGAGTCCGGGGCGCCATGGCGGAGCAGGCAGACTAGGAAGCCATGACGGAGCAGGCAGACTTGGAGGCCATGGCGGAGCAGACAGTTCAGGAGGCCATGGCGGATCAGATAGTTCAGGAGGCCATGGTGGAGCAGGCAGACTAGGAAGCTATGGCGGAGCAGGCAGACTAAGAAGCCATGGCGGAGCAGGCAGCTCGGGAGGCCATGGCGGAGCAGACAGTTCAGGTTGCCATGGCGGAGCAGGGGACTTAGGAGGCCATGGCGGATCAGGGAGTCCAGGAGGCCATGGTGGATCCTCTGTGACCTTAGCCGGCTCGGCCACCACGGCCAAGGGCATATGCCCCCCCAAAACATTTTCTTGGGGAAAATTAGGAATTCTGGGGGGCGCTGTGGAGGAGCGGGCACTTGAGGGCGCTCCGGAGGGGCGGGCGCTGGAGGGCGCTCCGGATGGGCGGGCGCTCTGGAGGGGTGGGCGCTCTGGAGGGCGCTCTGGAAGGGCGGGCACGGCTAGCACAGGGGGCTCAGGAGACGAAGGAGGTCTGGATGGGACCAGCGGAGGCGAAGGAGACGAAGGAGGGCTGGACAGACCAGCGGAGGCGAAGGAGACTCAGGAGAGTTTTCTGGAGCGGACTCAGGCGAGAGGATAGGAGCCAAGAACTCTGGGGGTAGCGCCATATCCAGGAGCGCTGAGAGGCACGCTGGAGTGGACTCTAGAGGGAGTGCTGATGCCTCTTTTTCTGAGCTGAGGGCTGGAATGGATCTTGGACGGGCTCGGGAAAGCAGGGGTGGAATGGAGGGAGCGGGCTCATTGGAACGGTATGTGGAGGGTGCTGGTTTATGGTGAACTGGAGTACCAACATCCCTCCGGATAGGGACTGAACAGTTATCATTATTTACTTCAACAAAGAAATTAGAGCAATTTAAATCGAGAACAAAATTAATAGAGTCTGCTACGGGTCTATAACAATCGTCTGGAGACAAAAATCGGAATAAATTATCATCGTCCAGTCCCATCCGGAAGCACGCATTAAGCATATGATCACTCCAGCTCACCAGATGAAAGACACTCAGGAATTCCTCCACATATCGCTCCAAAGGCCTTCCATCCTGCTGGATGTTTGGAAGAACGTCCTCAGCCCAGTCCATCCTTTTCGTTGGTCCTGTCTTCTCGAAGGAGTACAAAGGAGGCCGATAGTCAAACGAACATAGTCTTTAATTAATCTTCATGGGAACTTAGGAGAAAACAACCTCTTTACACGACAGAGACAGGACAAAGAAACTGAGGAAAGGCAGGGCTATAAATACTAAACCAAATGATGGACTAATAAGATGATTAATGAACACAGGTGGAAACTAATGAACTAATCAAGCAACACAGGAAAACTACGTCAAGGCAGGGAGAACAGAAACACAGAACATAAACGTGACAATAACTTACCGAAATGTACCGTGTCTCATGCACAATCAGTATTTTATCTGCGGAATGACATCAGTAAAGTTTGTAAACAATGTCACGTAACATTACCTTTACCTCAAGAAAGTCATTCAATGTCCCTCAACTTGATAGTTTGCTAGAAAAATCTAGAGAGTGTTTTGATAATAATATGCTCTATATTACATATTCATTACTTTTTAAACTGTTCTTAAATATTTAATATATCTAATTCTTTAAATAAATGTGTCATGAAAACAAGCTCTTAAGAAAGCCACCATTTATATTTCGTTTAAAAAACAAATCTGTCACAGTACTGTGTTGATGAACATGCACAAAGACAAAGAAGGAGGTTAACAATCTTTAATAAATCCACAGGTAGTATATCCACACCAGAGGTTGCGTTAGACTTTAACATTGTCCGTCATTTTGACGGACAGGGTCGTAAAAATTCCGTCATAATCTATTATAACCCGTCATTTTAATTTTTATATTTTAATTATAATAACACATTTAATTGCTTGTATTTTTGTTCACATTTTCATTCTTAATAATGAACCTACAGGACGAGCATATAGGCTTATGCATTTATTTATTTATGAAGAGAACAGATGAACAGAGACTGCATCACTTTTCATGTTTAACACCACACTCCGCACTGACAGTGGAGACCACTAAAAACAACAAAATATGCTAGGGCTTTGTAAAACTAAATTGATTTCTCGATTTTAATAGATTCTCATTTTTATGAACCAATATCGATACTTAAATCCCAATCGATTCTGTTTTCAGTTGATGAATGAACCGTACATATGTTGCTCCTCCCATCCACTAAAATCGCAATAGGCTAAGCTTTGTGCGTTGATACTTTTGATATGAAACAAAGTCTCAGATTTCAAATTCTGAGAAATTTCAAAGATCTGAGGGATGAAGTGACGATAAGGGGGGAAAGGGAGGCTGGATGGTCACATAATTGTCACAGGGAGCTCAGGAGGAGCAGGAGAGCTGGACGGAACCAGCGGACACATAGGAGGAGTAATGGCGGTGTGTGTGTGGCCCACACACACCAAATGGCCACACCCATTACCGGGAGTGCCACGGACTGGGGAACGACCTCCATAGTTGTTTCAGGTCTGACAGACAGATCAGGGCAGACAGATAATTTCAAGCAGACAGACTGTTCAACATATACAGACAGTTCGTTCACGGCCTCCATGGCCATATCAGGACAGGAAGAGAGTCCTGTTGATGAAGGAAGACAGGGCATCTCAATATCAAAGTCAATTAAGTCCTCAGAGTCCTGGCTCAACTCACCCTCAGCAGTGTTGCAGTTGGCGGGGCTTTCCTCCGCACCCCCATTCTCCACTGTTTCATCCATCGTAGCGTGCGTCGTTGCCGGTCTCGCACCTGGTCAGACGGTCAGTTAGGCTCTGGCTCAGGGGCAATCCACAGCACTGTTGCTCTTTCTGGCAATGGCTCGTCGGTCGCGGCGGGCTTTGGCTCTCCGTCTGCGGTGGGCTCTGACTGATGCTCCGCACAGCGGGATGATGGTAGGCTGGGCTCTGGGTCTGGAGTTGGGCTGGCGAGTCCCTAATCAGCGGCGAATTGTTACTCACCAGCAACCATTCTACAAAGGTGGCGAGGCTCTCTCAAGGACCATCCCCGAACAACTGCGCTCGTGTGGCGGTATTTAAGCCAACACGGTAGAACATGGTGAGGCAGCTGTCTGGGTAGTGTGTTAAGTTGGCAAGGTCCACAAAGTCTCTCATGTGGTCCTTGAGAGAGCGATACCCCTGTTCCAGCAGGATGACAAGGATGGCAGGATCGTCCATAAATAAAAGAAAAACTTTCAAAAATGAAAAAACAAACACGGCGGAAACACGCCGCTATTACTTTTGGTAAGTCCGGTCTTCTGTCACGGTACTGTGTTGATGAACACGCACGAAGATGAAGAAGAAGGTTAACAATCTTTAATAAATCCACAGGTAGTATATCTACACACAAAAGGAAGGCTTGAAACACATGTAGACGTTGATGAGACCGGACAAAAACAAACTGAACAGATTATAAGTAGATAGACCAATGAGGGATTAATGAGTAAATTAACTAGACACAGGTGAACTGACTAACATAATCAAGGGGAAACTCCGGAGTTGGGCTGGCGAGTCCCTAATCAGCATAGAATGCAGTCAGCGGCGAATTGTTACTCACCAGCAACCACTCTACAAAGGTGGCGAGGCTCTCTCAAGGACCATCCCCGGACAACTGCGCTCGTGTGGCGGTATTTAAGCCAACACGGTAGAACATGGTGAGGCAGCTGTCTGGGTAGTGTGTTAAGTTGGCAAGGTCCACAAAGTCTCTCATGTGGTCCTTGAGAGAGCGATACCCCTGTTCCAGCAGGATGACAAGGATGGCAGGATCGTCCATAAATAAAAGAAAAACTTTCAAAAATGAAAAAACAAACACGGCGGAAACACGCCGCTATTACTTTTGGTAAGTCCGGTCTTCTGTCACGGTACTGTGTTGATGAACACGCACGAAGATGAAGAAGAAGGTTAACAATCTTTAATAAATCCACAGGTAGTATATCTACACACAAAAGGAAGGCTTGAAACACATGTAGACGTTGACGAGACCGGACAAAAACAAACTGAACAGATTATAAGTAGATAGACCAATGAGGGATTAATGAGTAAATTAACTAGACACAGGTGAACTGACTAACATAATCAAGGGGAAACAGAAACTAGGTCAAGGAACACGAGGAGAGAAAACACAACAAAAAAGTCCATAAATGTGATCTAAGGCTCTGTGTATTAAATGCAACTCCATCTGAAGGCACGTGATGGAGATTTACTACTAATCACAGAACCGGCTTTACTGACGAGATGCGCATGACAATCGCATGTGATTTATCGTGCAGCCCTAAAAAAATGAATAATGTTTAGTTCCCGTCTGCCCTTATTTGGTTCAGCTCCTGTTCTCATTTAGTTAATCATCATTTATTCAAATCACCTGTGTTGCATTATTCATCTCGTTTGCTCCTTAGTTTGCCTGTCCTTATAAGCCCTCAGTTTCTGTCGAGTCTTTGTGCTGGATTAATGTTATTTTCAACGGTCTAAGTGTGTTGATGTTTATTAAAGACTCCTTTACTTCTACTCCTTCTTCGTGCGCCTTTTCTACAACCATGACCGCGTGACATAAAGATGCTATGTGAAATTAGACGTTGGAGAGATATGTGGAGGAATTCCTCGCGCTTCCCAACGAGGTGAGCTGGCACGAATCTTCACTTGCTGCGTGTTTCAAGCTGGGGCTGGACGATGATATAATCCGCTGCGATCTCCCCATGTGTGACTTTCCCCTGATCGAGCTGATTAATCTCATCCTCTATTTAAACGATTCCGACTTCAAGGTGGAAGAAGTCAATATAAATTCTAAGTCGCCTCGTCCAGCTCTTCGTGCGCCTTTTCTACAACCATGACCGCGTGACATAAAGATGCTATGTGAAATTTTGAAACCGAAAATAGTACAAATATTCATCTTGCCACTTTCTTGGTAAAGAAACCACATTTTTACTCAAATTAATCAAAATGGATTTATAGCGTTTTGGAACCCTGTTTGTTATCCGCTTCAGTATCCTACAAGAATAACCATACCTGTCGCATGGGTCATGGTGATGATAAGTTGGAGCATGGCTGCATTATATTCTTATGGCTTAGTGTATTCAAAAGCTAATGTAGAAGGACTGGAAGAATACAGTGATTCAATATACTGTATGGGAAGTTGTACTTTGCTTTTCAATGCATTGTGGTCCGTTTTAGACACATTACTAACCTTTTTCTTGCCTTGTTCTGTCATGATTGGACTCTATGCAAGAATATTTGTAGTTGCAAAAAAGCACATTAGAACAATCGGTGAGGCAAACCAGCATGAAAATGAGAATATGTTTAAAACCTCTCGACGGTCTGAACGCAAAGCAGCAAAAACTCTCGGTGTGGTCGTGGGTGCTTTTATTATTTGCTGGTTGCCATTTTTTATTAACTCTTTGATGGATCCTTATATCAACTTTTCCACTCCTTTTGTTCTCTTTGACACATTTGGCTGGTTAGGCTACATTAACTCAACCATAAACCCCATAATATATGGCCTTTTCTACCCATGGTTTAGAAAATCTCTTTCTCTCATTATAACAATGAGAATATTTGAACCAAACTCATCTGATATAAGTGTCTTCACTGTTTGATTCCATTTTCATATGTGCAGCACATTGATACTTTGTAACCTTTGCAAATCACATAAATAAAAAAAAAGTGTAAAATCAGATGCTTAATCTGTGCAAAATTAAATGGTGATCTAAAATCAGATCTCTGGCACACTTCTGATGTTAAATACACATTGCATGTGAATGATGGAAAAACTTGAATTCTGATTTGATGATTCAAACATTTTTAAAATGTATATTTTATTCAGTTTTTAGTGTACAAAAGCGGTATGCTGAAGCTTAGGGTATATTTCTTATAGGTTTTATACATTATTTCTTTCCAGCCAAAGAAGGTCTTTAAAAGCCGTCCAGAAGAAAGTCATCCCTTTGTGTTTTTGTTCCTCTCAGTGGTATTTGCTTTGAAATACATGATCTTCTTGCTGCCATCTTTGCTCATGTGTTCAGTTCCACAGATTTTTTAATTAGATTATAAGGCTGAAGATGTAAATTGTAGTTTACACATACACTGTTACCTTGATAAAGTGGAGAAAATTAAATGTGTATATTGTTTTTGGTTGTTGTTTTAAAGGGGAGGTTTATGAATTGGGCCCAAGACATCTTTAATGTTCAGGGCAAAAATAAGACTGAAGGTTACTTTTTTTTATATATTTACAGTATGTAGCACAGGGGTGGCCAACGTTGGTCTTGGAGAGCCACAGTCATGCAGAGTTTTGCTTCAACCCTAACCTCAAACACACCTGAACCAGTTAATCAAGGTCTAGGGTTTATTAGAAAGCTACAGGCAGGTGAGTTCAAGGTTGGAGCAAAACTCTTCTGTACTGTGGCTCTCCAGGACCAACGTTTCCCACCCCTAATGTAACATGTAAAGCTTGTTTGCTTTTTTGTCTTTCTGTGCAGTTAAAATGGCATTAGATGTTATGATCCATGGTGCTGCATTTTGATTCATAGGATTTATTTCAGCTAAAATTGCATAGCTTTCATTTATACTCAACCAAATTTGTTTTGGACAAACCAGTACACTCTCAGAAAAAAAGTACAAGCTGTCACTGGGCAGTACCCTAAACTACAAAAGCCCAAAGGTACATATTTATATCTGATTTACCCGTAAATGGTACATTAGTACCTTAAAGCACATGTGTCAAACTCCAGTCCTGGAGGCAATGGCGGAGCCAGTGGTCAGGGAGGGGCCAGCAACCAGTCTGGGGTGGCACAGAAATCTTCATTATTTCAATATAAAAATGTGATTGACTATAAAGTATTGGACTGTTTTAGTGCCTAAGACACAACTGAATACAATTAATTTCTACTAAATTGTAATTGAGATATTTGTGAATTAGATCAAGTAATGCTGAGTGAATATAACAATGTGTGTATTACTCCCCACCTCCAGGTATTTTAATAAAGGGGCTCACTATAGCTTTATTGCTCAGTCAGCTTGGTTCTGGTTCTCAAAACACCCAAAAGCTTGTTCTCTATCATTGAATACTCATTGATGAGACATGCAGATATTGATAAGAATTGGTTAATAAAAAAAAAGAAAAAGAAAAAGAAAAAAAAGGCCGGAAGTCAACAGCACATAAATGCCAGAATGTAAAATGAGTTATTTTATGCATTTAAATGGTTTCATTTTCATTTGTAAAAAAAAAATATATTTTCTATTAAGAGCACTGTGTTCATATTTACTTGTGCATTAAATTACAAAAAAAACATCAGCTTGCGCCTTATAATTGTGATCTCGAATTGCACAATATTTTAGTAGGCTACATGCATTTGAGAGACGTTCTTTAATGTGATGCTATACATACATGAATCCACTAATCGCCTTTTTGGTCATTTCATGGCTTAACTGACGACAAAACTACATTGCATGTTCATAGTTTCTTGTTAGCTTTATTTATGATGAACCAATATAGAGCGTGCGCCTTATATTCGCGTAAAGTTGAAGAGTGTGCGCCGTGAGCACGGTAAAACAGCTGTCAGGACAGGACAGTTTGTTTTACTGACATATAGCCTAATAACATCTCACCAGACCGCAATTCACTGTTGTTCTACTGAAGCTCATTTGGCACGTTCCTTAATTTTTGCGCTCGTTTGACTTGCGCCTGGTGCTGAGGCGAAGTTGAAGTACGCGTCTGAAAAGTCTCCCGTTTGATGTGGTCATAAAGAGATACGGTGGTTCCAAGCCTTAAAGGCACAATATATAATTTTCGCCACTAGAGGGCACGTATTCAAAATAAACAAATAGACAAAGGCGTAGTTTGATGACGCCATGACTGAATGTGGAATCATGGGAGTTGTCGTCTTCATCCCCACAGCCGATGCAATCCGACGGGACTCCGGCAGAAATCATGTTCATGGATAAGCTAATGATTTATTAACGTAGTAGAATGAAGCAGGGTGAGGCTGAAAGCCGTCGAAGCGAAACGCGGCTGCTGAACGAGCGTGACACACGGCTCGAATGCAGCGGAGCTTTTAATATGCCACAGTCAACCGCTTCCACTCCTTCCGGTCGTGTGTATGTGGGGGGAAAAAGCAGCGCTGTTTTATCATACTAGATACATTTGAAAGTTCTGTTATTATGCTACTCTGCGCGGTCGTCACCGGTCTATTAAAACGCACAACATATTAAAGCGTCTTTGGTGTTTCCATGTTTTCTTACATTTTGTGCCCTTAATAAATGCATTTCTTGTCAAGAAAAAAAGGGACAAAAACTGCAGTTTTGAGTGGGGTGGCCAACCTTAGGTCAGTGGTGGCCATCCCTGGCCACCCCCTGGCTCCGCCCCTGCCTGGAGGGCCATTGTCCTGCAGAGTGTAGCTCTAACCAGCTCCAAAACACCTGGAAGTTTCTAGTAATCGCGAGAACCTTGGCTGTATCCAAAATCACATAATCTCTTGAGTAGGTACTTTTTTGAATATCTAAATACTTCACAACTGCAAAAAAGAATACGTTCTATATAGTATGAATGTGTGTAGTATGAATGTGACACTTCTTTTGTCACATACTGTTTTTCATAGTTGGGAAGTATGCGGTTTTGGATACAGCCCTTGATTAGCTGGTTCAGGTGTGTTTTGATTAGGGTTGGCAAAACTCTGCAGGACAGTGGCCTTCCAGGAACTGAATTTGACACCCTCGTCTTAAAGGTACATACTAATACATAAAAAAAATGTACCATTAGTTCCATTTAAAAGGTATTTGAAAGTTCTGTTCGCTTCTGTATCCTACAAGAATAACCATACCTGTCGCATGGGTCATGGTGATGGTAAGTTGGAGCATGGCTGCATTGTATTCTTATGGCTTAGTGTACTCAAAAGCAAATGTGGAAGGACTGGAGGAATATATTGAATCAATATACTGTATGGGAAGTTGTACTTTGCTTTTCAATGCATTGTGGTCAGTTTTAGACACATTACTTAACCTTTTTCTTGCCTTGTTCTGTCATGATTGGACTGTATGCAAGAATATTTGTAGTTGCAAAACAGCACATTAGAACAATCGGTGAGGCAAACCAGCATGAAAATGTGAGCACGTTTAAAAGCTCTCGACAGTCTGAATGCAAAGCAGCAAAATCTCTCGGTGTGGTCATGGGTGCTTTTATTATTTGCTGGCTGCCATTTTTTATTAACTCTATGGATCCCTACATCAACTTTTCTACTCCTTTTGCTCTCTTTGAAGCATTTGTCTGGTTAGGCTACATTAACTCAACCATAAACCACATCATATATGGCCTTTTCTACCCATGGTTTAAGAAAAACCTTTCTGTCATTATAACACTGAAAATATTTGAACCAAACTCTTCTGACATCAGTGTGTTCACTGTTTGAATTTAGCTCTTTTTCATGTGATTTTGATCTGATGCAACATTTTTTGTTTTTTCACTTAGCACTGCATGCTTTCTTACTGAAATGATGCTCTGACCACAGTTCATTGGAAAGCTGAGCACAAATGATGAACCATGTATTTTTCATGTATTTTTGTTTCATATATTTGTTTTTTCCTATATATTAACTTCCCATAAATCTATAAACTGGCAAAGATGTGTCAGTCAGTCCAACTAGTGGCCTATATCACAAGTCAGGGTTACAAATCAAGTTTTTGACAACACCAAACAAAAGCAGTTCATCTTAGTGGGTTAGATCTATGTATTTTGCACAAGGGAATTAAACAGGTCTACAGTGTTTGCTAAAGGAAAGGGAACAGAATACATATTTACAGAAGCAAATTTAGAAATACTTTTTTTTTGAGAATGAAATCAAACCATTGCAAAAATTCTGTTGTGATCATGTTCTTTGTTTTTTTCCCTCAGCGAACATCATTGTATTCTGTGATTAAAATGGGGAAAAAGTAAACAAAATGTTTTCCCTGAGTTCCTTTTGTGCATTTAGTAAAGAATTTTCAAAATTGCAGTTATGTAACCATATTGCATGATAGGAAAATCCTAAATGAATCTTACATTATTTTAATTCCTATATAACAATATCACTTTTTTGATAAACATGACACAATATAAGGTTAGGATTACATGAAAATAGACGTTACGCTTCATGAACAACACAGATGTATGAAGGGAATTAAAGGTTTTATAATAAAAATAAAGTGCATGTTGTTGTTGTAAGGGCTTGTGCAGGTGCTTTTAGGCAATGCAGCAGCTTGCTGGTGGTGTCTCCTTGATCTCTTATTTTAATAGCATACACTCTCAGAAAAAAGCTCCCACTGGGGTGGTACCTTTTCAAAAGGTATACCTAAAGGGTCCATATTGGTACCTTAAAGGTACATATTAGTACTGAAAGTGTACACATTAGTACCTAAAAGGTACAAAAGTGTACCTTGTGAAAAACCTTTATTTCTGAGAGTGTACGTTATTGTGACATGGCATTGGCAATAACGAAAGTTGGATAAAATTTCATCACAACTTAAAAGCTGTTTCCCAATTCAGAGGCTCCCTCCTTCAAAGGTTGCATTCATAGACTGAATGTGCCACAGTGGCATAACTAAGGGCAATTTGAAAGGCTCCTTCAAATGC